GAATGTTGAAGAAATAAGAATGATAATGTACATTTAAGAAAATACTGTGCAGGGACTACTGAAGAAAGTAATAAAAAAAGAACTCTGAACTGAAAAGTTTGTAACTCTGTTGCGCACACGATTTTCCCGTTTCGGCTCCAAACTATCTCGGGTATGCTCGAAAATTCTGCATTTTATATATTTTGCTTGATTTTGCAATAATAGTTAAAAATGTCCAGCCTTCTCAAATCATTTTTAACCCTTTTTTAAAAAAATTTTTTTTAAAATGCATTTATTAAATGTTTAAATTCTCCTTCCCTTCCCTCTCCCTCTTCAACCCATTCTCACTCCCGCTAATCTCACAGTCTTAGTGCTCCCCTTTCTTCCCTCTCGTCTTTCTCTTTTCCTTTTCCATTAAGCACTGCGGCCGCTATACTGACGAGATCCTGTTGCGGTGTTGAGTTTAAGACGTATATGACTTAATGGACCGAAAAGTCTTATCTCACTCTTGCTCTCTTTTCTCATACTGTTCTTTCCTTCTGTATTCTGTCGCGCCTTAGGCTTCCAAGATCAACCTGACTGCTGTAATCGGCTTACCAAGTGATCATCCTTTTGGACGCCCGTAGAAAGTGAAATAAGTGTTGCTTGATATTCGCTGAACGGATATGACCAATGCAATGTACTGGACAAATTGCGCGACAATTCGTCACCGTATGAGAGAAGTTCAAACACTTGTTGCATGCACAATGCTGAGTGTTCGTTCGTTTCGATTTCAACCATCTGCAAAAAATTTTAATTTTTATCCGACTTCTTTTAGACCATAAACAGGGGCATGTTTAATTTCACTTAGTACGCAGAGATGCTAAAGTTGAAGGATTCAATTCCACAATAAGCACCCAACAATTCACTGACTAATGGTCTCCTGAGGGGACAATGGCTGGTGAAGAAGAGGGGAGGGCGGAGGGGAGGAGGAGCCGACGGTGAGTGGGGAGTTTCTTCCATCCTGGAACTATGCAAAAAGCTAGGAAAAGGGTTGTAACACTGCTACTTAGAGTTACTCTAGTTCAGAGTTAGTTTAGACTTCAGTTTACTTTAGTTTTAGCTTTAGACCTGGGATTTTTCTGTGTCGCTGGGAGGCTGGAAAGAGGGGGGG